GCCTTCCCTGGCTGTTTTTTTTTGTATCACGCTCTGCGGGCCGGATTAAAAGGTCCGCCGGGCCATAGTTTGCCCATTGCTGAGCTATACCCTACTGTGGGCCCTACTGGAGGGCCTATTGTGGTCACAAAATGGTTCACGTTTAACCCCGCCTACAACAGATATCTCAGCTTTTGGCAGATGCCGATAGGTTGTACCACCCTTTGACTTCTCCTGTCCTTCAGGATTCTGGTGGGGATATCGTTGTGACAATTCCCGGGTTTGCCCACCCCTCCTCCAGGGAGTGTCAACCCTACAGTTGCATTCTCTAAAATATAAAGTCAATAAATATAAATCCAGCAGGGAACTAGAGAAACCCCCAAAATGGTCAAAATGGGTCATTGAGGAGACTTCTCCTCCACGTTAGAGTCTCTGAGATAGAGGAGAAGTCAGGGAGTCCTTCAACCTGGCAACATCTAAAAAAACAAATCCTAGTTTTTGGAAGTGTTGAAGTCCCATTTAGAACCAACAATACTCAGATGTTACTAGTGACTATATTTTCAAAGAATAAAACAATGTCTTTCAAGGTGCTGTGTATAAGTGCTGTGTGAAATTGCTGACAGAATGTCTTCCAAAACCCCAATAATTCATGGTGAAGCTGACATAGAATTATATTTTGTAGGTTAGTTTGTAAAGAAAATGAAATCGATGCAACTATTCATAAAAAGGGGCTACAAAAATGGCCAAAAAATGGAACGGCCAGTTTGATGATATCCAATCTGACACGTCTCAGTATAATAAACCGAAAATTAGGAAAACGTTATGTTTCTGGTTGTATAAAGTATCGGAAAGTTTGACAAATGTCCCGCCAGCATAAGAGACAATCTGGAAGTGCGATCTAGCCAGGTACAGGTTTGTTCAGTGGAAGATACTATAATTTGTTGTCTTGGCAAAAAGTTGATTTGTCGGTAGGCTGTAAGTTGACTTTTTAATACTTGTTAACAGAAGTACACTCTACTTTGTTGTTCTCTCCCTCGACGGAGAATCACACCAACCGGCCATCTTTTTCTTAGTCCAGTATGTCACCGAACAATCCTCTCGATAGCCGTTAGTGTTTCCACCAGCTCCTGAAAACTGGGCCTTTCTTGGGGCTTGTCCTTCCAGCAAAGCAGCATCAAATTGTACATTTCCATTTTGCAGTTGGCCGGCTGAGGAAGTCGGTAGCCTTTGGAGACTCTCGCGAACACATCCCTGTTATTCCACCCTGGTGAGAAGAGAAAGAAACGTCAGTCTGATCCATGACCCATAAAAGCCTAAAGAGGAACCTTTTGTGTCTACAAAAACCACATGACATTGAAGTATATAGAAAGCCCAAACTTTTTTTTTATATCATAGGGAAGGTTTAGAACTTTTATTTTGCAGATTATGTCTACAATGGATTCCTTGTCTTTATTTATCCTCAAGGTCATTGTCACCAGAACAAAAAGTGAGGAAAAATCTAAAATATTGAGTTGTCACCAAAATCAGGATAGAATAGAAGTCTTTCACCTGGGACACATTATGATGATAGATGTTCTAAAAAGGGTTTTCCTCACTTTGGAGAGATTTAATCTCATATCCTATTGTGTCTACAGGACAGGAAGTACAGGGAATCTTCCCAATCGGGACATAAATGACATATTAATCTTGACAGGGATTTAAGCATTCCCAGTGTTGTGTAGGTGCAGTGTGGTGTGGTTGGAAGCATGGGTGGACTGACAACTCATGGGGCCCCTGGGCAATAGGAGATCATGGGGCCCCTGTGTCCTCGCCTACACTCAAACCACACCCAAAAAAAACTTATTAAAGGTACCAGGGGCATCTCATGTGGCTGCCTACTGACCCCGGGCCCTTGGGCAGTGCCCGAGTTCCCAAATGGTCAGTCCGCCCCTGGTTGGCAGTAAGCACACAGAGTCCCAATTTGTGAAGAACAATGTAGGCCAACAGTACAAACAGGCCCAGTGGGGGAGGCGCACCCCTCTGGTGCCACGGAGTGATAGCAGTCTGAAGACTCAGGGATGTTGACAGCATCTGCCACAAGGAGCAGAATGTGACCTGGTCGGTCCGACCCAAGGGCAAAGCTTCCTGAGAAGGTAGACATAGTCCCTGCTCTCTCCCTACTCCATCAGAACCTTTCCCTACTGCTGGCACTGGCCAGATGAGAGATGGGGAACTTATCCCTACGCTCTCATAAAGTGTGCCAAACACAGCGGTCAGATTCTTTAAAAGACTCTGCTTGACCCAAGATGGCTGCCAGGGTCACATGTGAATCCAACCGGATCACTACCCTGGGTAACCGAGGAAATCATAGAGAAACCTAATTTCTCTCAAATTCCTCTGCCATCTGCATTGCCGCTGTGGTCGAGCGCCACCCGCAGTGGAGAATACAGACTGCACCTACCTACACCAGATCTGTGCAAAAATTAAAAAAGTTGTAGCTTTAGATACTTTAGCTACTTAAATGTCATGTGGTCTTTAGATATACTTTTATACATAGCCAACAAAATAAAGCCCTTAGTTGAGATCCTACACCCCTAATGGTATTCATAGACATGATGCTCTTTCAGGTTGAATTGGAATATCCACAAAGACTGCCAGGTGACTCATCTTGGAGGAAGAATGGATTGGACCTGGCCCAGTTGCCATTGTTTCCCTGCAAGAAAATGACATCAAATCCCTTAGTGGCACCTCCTGCACCTCCTAATGTCTGAACCAAAAACACATGTTGAGACATCATGATGCTGAAGAAGCTTTTCCTATCTGGTAGTAGTCAGTATGAAGAAATGTAGATGGTGAACCTACAATGTTGAGGGTGTCAGACGGACTAAATAATATTACGCTCTGCCAGGGGTGGACTGACAACTCATGGGGCCCCCAGGCAATAGGGGATCATGGGGCCCCTGTGTCCTTGCCCAAACTCAACAAAGCCTATGTAAAAGGTACCAGGGGCATCTCATGGGGCCCCCTACTGACCCCGGGCCCTCGGGCAGTGCCTGAGTTTCCAAATGGTCAATTAGCCCCTGCGCTCTGCTCTTATTACGGGAAAGATAAGTGCTCTTTGTTTGTATCAAGTAATGCCATCAGCTACTCTTAAAAGATTCTATGCTTTGTATTCAAACCAGGGTTCTCCTCTAAATGATCGCTACCAGGGGTGGACTGACAACTCATGGGGCCCCCGGGCAATAGGGGATCATGGGGCCCCTGTGTCCTTGCCCAAACTCAAAAAAGCCTATAAAAAAGGTACCAGGGGCATTTCATGGGGCTCCCTACTGACCCCGGGCCCTTGGGCAGTGACCGAGTTTCCAATGGTCAGTCCGCCCCCGATCGCTACTCAAATTAAGGCTTGTCATATGTCCATTTTACTGGTTCCTCAGGGGTATGTGGTGGGCAGAGAGCCAGAGAGTGAGAAAAGAGCTGCCTGAGAGTACTAGTTAGGAGCTCTTAGTTACATTTCTTTTAGTTTTGAGTAGACACCTAGCTGTCTGTCATTTTCTGCCTTTTAGGATTCTGGTGATGAGACCTCTCTTCTAGTGTTCCTGACTACTCTTCCATCATGAGGATCTTCAGCACTGCCTGGTCTCCTGTGGATCATGGCACCACTTTTTGTCTAGTGATTGACTGCTTTTGGTTCCCCAGCTAAGAGTGGAGAGGGAGAAGAAGAATTCCCCTCCATCAGGGTAAGTAAGAACGTTTTACTCATAGTTTGCTTCCCAAAGCCGCTCACCTTTGTATGGCGTTTCCCCGAATGTATACACTTCATACATCAAGACCCCAAAGGACCAAACATCGGACTTGGTAGAATATTTACAGTAAGTAAGAGCCTCTGGCGCTGTCCATTTTATTGGTATGGTTCGGTTGTTTTCTGGAGAGTACAAATCGTCCTGAAAATACAATAAGACTGTTAGGGACATTAAAAGGGTCCTAAAAAGAAGAAGCTTGGGACACCCCACATCAGGCTTTATTTATCATAATGGCACCTGAGGGCTGGTGCCCCTAGGGTAGCAGAACTGGATGGGGCAACCCAAAGTCTCAAATATACAAATGTATTTTCTTTTCTTACTGGCCTCCTTTGAACGTTAGCAATTCAATTTAAAACTGTAGGGAGAAGTAGGTGCTGAGAGGAGTCCTAAGATTCCTTATAGTTCAAGAAGCAGGAAACTATCTCTTGGTACTCTTGTTTGGGGGTCTGTACAGCTGAAAAGTCCTTCATATAAACCAGACCCCATGTTACCTCCAATAATTACATGACGCAATGGGCGGAGCTTGTACAAAGGAAAATCCTTATTATATTAAGTGTAGGTCAGCGTCCTGATCCCACCAAGGATGAACATTTTCAGCAGTCACAAAGTTCTTTTCTGGTCACTGTCTTTTTTTCTGCCAATGTCCCAGAGGCCCCCTAACCTCTGAGGGCTGCTGAATAATGAAGGCTGCCATTGATTACCTTTTTTTGAGAATATTAGTTGCTAACATGCTGACACTTAGCCCGGCAAGGTGCTTTCAGCCTACCTGGAGCATGAGGACACCGCTGTCAGCACCGGATTTAGATCCACAGGATCCGAGGCCTTTGCTGCCTTGTTCTCATCCCACCAGACTGGAACTCTCCATGAGAAGGGGCAGCAGCTTTGAGCCCCACAACAATGACTGGGCCTGGGGCAGCTGCCCTTTTGCCCTGCATTAATGATGGCTCTGGTTAGGACATGCATCCCCGTCCCAGTGGACAAATGCCCGTTGTGCCCTATAGCCAGTCCGGGCCTGCTAATTGATAAGCAATTCTGAAACGTTGGTAAAATCTATACTTGTTCTTGGACTCAGGCACCTAGCCTTTTTAGAAAGAGGCCACCAATGGCCGCCCCCTCTCTCATGACCGAGTCACTTTAAATGTAGTGTATGCGTCCTGGCTAGAGTGACTAAACTGTATGTGACATTATGACAAGACAATGGATTATATCTAACCTTCAGCAGGCGAGCCAGTCCAAAGTCAGCTATCTTACACATGAGGTTATCCCAACTAGAATGTTCCGTGTGGCCAGGTCCCTGTGGACCACATGTTTCTTCTCCAGGTACTCCATACCATCTGCAACCTGGGAGATTATGGTAATAAAATCTGAATTTCTCAGGCGCTTCCCTTCCACACCTGTGGAGACATGTGACAAAGGTCAAACACAATGACAGCCATAAAGAATATGACATTTGATTAGTTTGGATGGAGGCAGTCAGAGGAGTTTCACATTGTAATCCGTAAGATGCCCATTATTACCTTCCTGGTGGAGACAAGCATCTCCATTGCCCTGTGTTAGACTGCTTTCAGTTTGCCAGTAAGCTCTTGACTTCTTTGACTTCTTTTTTTTAATCCACCTGCCTGTAGGTGGTTGCAGTCTACTTTCTTCAGGAGGTGCAGGTGGCACTCTTCAGCACCATGCTGCCACCCCATGTGACTCTAGCAGCCATCTTGGGTCAGGTAGCGCCTTTTTTTTAAGGCCTTGGCTCCTAGGTTTGCACTCATTTTGGAAGTTGGTAGAGTAGGGACAGATACCCCGCTTGGTAGGGACAGGACTAGCATCAGGGAAAGGTTCCTAATGAGGCAAACTGTAGGGCTTGCAACTTCTCTGGATATCTACCTGCTTGGTTACAAGACGGCCAGGCCACATTCTGCCCCTCTCAATAGGAGCTGTCCGTTTTGTCTGAATCCTGCCCTCTACTCACTGTTGGACTTGTGAGTGTCCCCGGCTGGGTTGCCTTCCTACCAGGTTATTTATGAAATATATTTGCATTATTTCAGTCGTACTGGGACTGTGTGTGTGTTTATTGCTGCCACACCACACTGCACCCTACTCACATGCCCATTGGCCTCCATGTCTAATGAAAGTACCTTGTTGGCCAATGAGGGGACTGCCATTGAAGGTTCTAATAACTGGGCAGGGGTCAGGGCTTAGACTTGAAGTGAAGAGCTCACTAGCAATCTGAACACAGTCTCTGGTGGGGCACTATAAAACTTTTGCTGGACAAGGAAGGGGTATAAAATTTCAGATGTCCATAATCGATAACAGGTCCATTTTAAGGGGGATTACGTTTGTCTCATGGGCCCCTTGCTTCTGTATCCCCTCCCTCTGCAGTTTTTATATCATGGATATCATATGTAGACTTTGGGTTGACCTTTAAGATAGTCCTGGAGGTTTCCCTTGGTCATGAGTTCGGTGACGATGTAGACTGGCTCCCCAATGGAACACACAGCCAGGAGACGGATGAGGTTCCGATGACACAGCGTCTTGAGCGCGTTTATCTCCTTCTCCATGTCACTTCTGTTCAGATCCTCTGCAAGATCCAAAAAGTCCACATGTAAAGAAATATACCTACACTTTTTCCTCTGGAAATCCCCAAATCTGTAGGTACAAACCTTGTTTGAAGGTCTTGATGGCAACTCTCTCCTCTCCATTCCAGAGGCCTTCAAAGACTTCTCCGAAGAACCCCTGTCCCAGCTTTCTCTCAAGTGTAAATTCTGATCTTGGCCTTTCCCAGTTGTCCACTAAAGACAAGACCTAAAAGATGACAGTGCTTAAAGTTCAGTCCACTCAAATCGGATATCTGACGTTTACACAGATGATGATGATGGGATAATCCACGTAATGGCTTTTTGTAGCTTTGAGGAGCCCAGCACAGAGATCTCAGAACCTGGAGTACCAGCTCCACCCACCTGCGATGGTCATTACAGGGTGCCCGAAACTTGCTGTTGTAATCCCTGTGGATATATCTTTCAGTTGTTCCAGAAAAATAGAAAAACTCTGGGTGGTTCAAACTGACAGCATTACCTCAAAACTGGAATAACCTTTTTTTGGGGAACTTAAAGTATAATAGCGCTGATTCATCAAGCTGCAAGGGCATTTACCGCATCTTTACGTGACCAATATGAGGTGCTCCCACCATTGTTGCATTATGTTTCAAGGTCTTCACACCTGCTGTGCCAATTATGAAGGTTGCTACCATCCCTGTACTAGGTTCCCGGGTCTGTACACCTGCTGTGTCCATTATGAGGGGTTCCCACCATCCCTGTGCTGAGTTCCCAGGTCTGTACACCTGCTGTGTCCATTATGAGGGGTTTCCACCATCTGTGTGCTGAATTCCCAGGTCTGTACACCTGCTGTGTCCATTATGAGGAGTTTCCACCATCCTTGTGCTGAGTTCAGGGTCGGTACACTTGCTGTGCCCATTATGTAGTAGGTTCCTACCATCCCTGTGCTGAATTCTCAGATCTGTACACCTGCTGTGCTCGTTATGAGGGGTTCCCACCATCCCTGTGCTGAATTCTCAGACCTGGACACCAGTTGTGCCCATTATGAGGGGTTCCCACCATCCCTGTGCTGAATTCTCAGACCTGGATGCCAGTTGCGCCCATTATGAGGGGTTCCCACCATCACTGCTATATTAATTATTTTTTTATTTATGGGGAATGGAATAAGGGGAGTCGGGACACACAAAGGTGGTGGGAGGAGTGAAGGGGACAACCACACTGCTCAGGTAGACAGACCGTAATAGCAGGGAGATCTCAGTGTTGAGGTATTCAAGCTATATAAGAAGCCAGGGACTAAGCTGGCTCACGAGACACCACCTATAACCAAAATATCACTGTTAGATGGACATGCCCTTGAAGTATCAGCTTTGAGAGAACTAACCTTTCCAAATTGTATCTACAAGTTCCCGAATAACAGTGACTTTCCGATTATGAACAAGAGACCAGTTATATCATTTTGAAGAAACGGCATTTTCACAAAGGTAGTCGTTTGCCATTAATGACAATGTTACAAAGAAAACAAAATCCGTATTTGAAGAGTGATCTGTGCACACCTTGGATCAATACTCACACCCTCACTCCGGGCTGTCGCACACAGAGATAGAAGTCAGAGGACTGACATCAGCACAGATCAGTCCGTACCAGGGGCGGACTGACCATTTGGAAACTTGGGCACTGCCCGAGGGCCCGGGGTCAGTAGGGGGCCCCATGAGATGCCCCTGGTACTTTTTTTTCATAGTTTTTTTTTTTAGTTTGGGCAAGGATACAGGGGCCCCATGATCCCTTATTGCCCGGGGGCCCCATGAGTTGTCAGTCCGCCCCTGGCCCGTAGGATCCCTGCTGTACTGCCTGAGCTGATATAAGGAGACTACAGCTATGTACATAGGGAGGGGAACAGGATCCGCTTAAAGCAAACCTGTCATCAGACATATGTCAGTAGGTCAGAAAATGTCTAACACTTCCACATATTTATTACTTCTCACAGAGATCACAGTTCTCCCACCTACAATGCCTTTCTCCCCGGAAGGACAGCACCATCTTTGTTCAGGCATTGTCCAGGGTCACCATCAAATATATGTTAAAATGACTTTTTTATATGTTAAAAAAAAATCTGAAGAATATATTTAAAAAATATATATTTTACACACACATATATATATATATATATATATATATATATATTTTTTTTTTAAATATATTTTTTTTTAAAATATTCAGATTTTTTTTCAACATATAAAAAAGTCATTTTAACATATATTTTTACATATATTTGTTAATGCATTCCAAAAAATGTAGGTTTGTATTTTTAAAGACATACAGTATATTTTGAAAGGTATTTTTAAAAATATTTTTCATATATTGTGTAATAAAAACGCATTTCGACATGCAGTATGTATGTATGTGTGTATATGTGTGTGTATATATATATATATATATATATATATACACACTGTATGTTGAGATGCGTTTTTATATATTACAAAATATATGAGAAATATTTTTAAACATATATATTTTTTTTAAATAATTCTTCAGATTTATAACATCTAAAAAAGTAATTTTAACATATATCTGTAAATGCATTCCAAAAATGTACATTTGTATTTTTAAAGACATACAGTATATTTGAAATGTATTTTTAAAAATATTTTTCATATATTTTGTAATTAAATACGCTTTTCGACATGCAGGATATATATATTTGTTGAAATATATATATTTTGAAATATATTGAATATGGCCAAAATGTTAGCATTTGAAATATATGTCAATATATTTGGGAAGAATATTTTTAAAATATATTTCAAATATATTTTTCTTCCATGTGGAATATTATACATTAGGAGCGTGTTTAGATGTACATTATGGCAAGTCAAGCACCCACCCAGCCCACATGTAGTATATATGGGCCCTTTTGGTCCCAGAGGGCTGTGGTGCAGCTGCACAGTCTACCAATGACATGTCTGCCCCCAGTGTGTAACGTATTGCCTCATATTCACTTTTGCATACGCTGTGCCGACACGTACCTGGGTGACACAGGGCTGCAGCAGGGGACCCTTCAGAAGCTTCCAGTTGGCTTTATGGAAGTTGATAAGGTCCTGGATGGTGGAGAAGGATCTCCCCTGCTGTAGGTAGTACTCGCCCCTGGAGTCTGTGAGGATGCGGAAATGGGTGACTTTATTCTCTATACGAACTGTAAAAGAAGGAGAAATGTTGAAGCTTTTATCACTTTTAATACTGTCCTTTTCTTTTTTTAAAGGGCTTTTCTGGTCTGGATAAAGATTTCCTCCAACAGCTGCCCTACCAGGAATACGGAGCCTTGGAGAACAGTGGACTGCCTGGCAGAGGTGAGGAGACGTTCATGAATTATTACTTAGCTTAACCACATATTTAAGTTTATTTTCACAATTTGACTTGATTGTTGCACCATGTCAGGGGTGGACTGACCATACGAGCACTCGGGCACTGCCTGAGGTCCCGGGGTCAGTAGGGGGCCCCATGAGATGCCCCTGGTACCTTTTTTATAGGCTTTTTTGAGTGTGGGCAAGGACACAAAAAAAACAAATATAAAAATTATATTAAAAAAAATATATATATATTTATATATATATATAAATAAATTAAAAAAATTGTGTTTCATTTATATATATATATATATATATATATATATATATATATATAATTTATATTTTTAAAATATATATCTATAAAAATTTTATATGATAGCAATGTCTGGGTGGAAGACAAACATACCACTTATGCATATTATGCATCTCAACCCCC